AAACATAAACACCATCTGATTAGGCATTTTAATGCTGACAACCAACTCAGCACCACGGAAAGGGTGTCCATTAAATAGCCCCTTGGAGGTCAAGCGGTGTCCACATCTACCACCCCTTGAGGGTCCAGGAAAGGGTCGACTCGACTGGAAAATGTCCCGAACCTGTAAGGAGGGTCGTTGCCTGGGAGCTCTCCCTATTTGAGCTACAACCACTTGTGTACTACGTAGCACATGTCAAAAGCACGGCGGCTCGCGGCCCACGGCGGACTCTTGTGTCCCTGGTGGCTTGAGACAAGCCTCTTCAAGAGCACCGAGGCGGACCGTCAAGATGGATATCGAAAGATTCAATTCTGAAGAGCACAAATTCCTGCTGACCTTCCTTCAGAATCCCCAAAAATTGCACCACCAACGACTCAGCTCCGACTTGTTTGAGGTCACTCACTGACCTGTACTTCTAGTCTCCCTGTAACCCTTCTCTCCACCTAGCCGGACTTCTGTGAAAATTCCGTCACAGGCACTGGTCCGCATCCACCTTGCAGGTCTTCGTTCCGCAGCCTTCTGCCACGCCCACACAAGCGGGCAGCGCCTCCACGGCAGCCTAGAAAACGAGTTCGCCGGCAAGATCGAGCCAAGAACGTCTGAGATCACCCGAGTTCAACCCGTCTTGATCCAACTCCTTCGTCTCCACTCGACCGGTCACCCACTCGTTCGACCCGACCGGGCCCCGGCGGGGGCAGGTCCGACCTCCGTCGACCCGGTAGAGTCTTCGATCAATAAACCCATGAAGAGCATGTCCAATTCAACTGGGGGAGTTGATGAATTCTAAGAGTCTCCATGAAATACACATGATGCAAAGCGCCAGCGGCGCGGATCCCACCTCCCCGTCACGGAACAAAACATCGCTCAGTCTAGACTCTAGACTGAAATCCGGCGGGACTCCGCGCGGAGCCTCGAATGGTGATCAACACCTGCGAAGTCGATCAAATCGACTTCAACAGGTTCAACAGAGCTCGTTTCCAGGAGAATCCTCCGCATCGAGCGTCTACCTGCCAAAGACTGACTCGCTCGTCCACACCGGCCTCGTTGATCTTCGTCCACATCTTCAAGGCCTCTGCGCCCACACAATATTCGCGGCCGGTGCCTCGGAAGGCGCCACCCGACCGAAGAAGGACGGCCAAAAGAGAGGGAATGGAAGAATGGATTCCCTACAGGTCCAGTCTGACCCGGTAAAACCTGGCCCTGAAACCCAAGTGGTGTTGTATGACCAACTCCAGTCGGACTCCAGTCGTCTTTCATGAGGTCAAACTGATCTGTAGAGATTGGTTGTACACGGCCGGGGGGTCTCCCCTCTGTTAACTGAGTGGTCTTCTGTTAATCAACCAACCAAGTGGTCTTCACTAGGTCAACAGCGGAAAACGATGCGGTTCCAAGTGGAGGTTCGGAACGTTGCGGAGTGTCCTAGACCAAGCCTGTGCAGAGGCTATTGCAACCCACATAATATTCAGAATTAATATGAA